CTAGAGATTTGCCTTAAAAGGGCTTACAAAGGAATTATGAGCAACTGGCTTCTCTCTTCCATTCTTTACCAGGCAGGAGAGACTGAAGCCTCCTCCCCACATTGAAAATGCAACCATTTCTTCCAGATATTCTCAGCTGTCTTAGTCTAGCTCAAGCCAACACTGCCCCCTTCTGTCCCTTTCTCTTTTTTTTTTCTTCCTGGTGGCAGCAGAATGTACTTTTCCTGAATTCTAAGCATCAGGTGGGAAAAACCCAAGACCTCCTGGCTGTTTTGGTTGTGTCCCAAAAGGGGACGAAGGTCAGCTTCTCTGCAAGGTTCTTTCTGCCCAGGGGAATCCAAGCCACCCTAAAAACTACAATCTCAGATAAGTAGCAAATAACAAAACACAAAAACTCAGAAATATATTTACACAAGATGAAGCCTCTGATCTAGTCCACATGGGTTCTGGAAATAGACAAAGGGAAAATACCTCTGGTGGTTTATTTAAGGGGATACATCAAAGGCAGGGATGAAGTTTCAAGAGTAGAGTCTTGCTTCATGATGTCCTGCAGTCAGCAGGTTGATTGACATTTTGGCAGATAACACCCATCTCAAGTGCTGTGTGGGCCCAGCAGAGTGGGAAAGAAATTTACATTATCCCTGGGCAACTGACCAGAGTAAATGTCCACTGGTCATTCACAGATGTCTCTATCCATGAGGCTACCATGCCCGGTGACCCACATACAACCCACAAGCAGCTGGTGACAGTTATGAGCTACTAAATTACCTAGATCTAGCCACTTAAAGAAATCTTTGGAGAAAGAAAGCGGGAGGGAGGCAGGGAGAGAGATGGAGAGAGAGTGAGAGAGAAAGGAAGGAAAGGAGGAAGGTCAGACCTTTGGATGAAGTTAAGTCCAGTTTACCAGGCTGGTTGGTAGGTATGCTCTGGGGTTGGGGCTAAAACTTCTTGGACAGTCTCTGGTCCTCTATGTTGTGGCAGGATTCTGGCATTTCTCATATTCTGGTATAAAATGCTCTACCAGACTATAGGGTGGTAATATTAGCCAACAAAAGCTTACAGTTAAATCCAATGTGAAACATTATGGGAATCAGTGTCTGATGGAGGACTCAAAACAGAGGTACTATAAGACAAACTCTTTTCACTTTTATTCTCCAAACCTGATTTCCAGGTTGGGTTCATTGTGGTCACACCCTATTGGGCCTCCTTCTAAGGCCAAGGTAGTGCTCCCTTGTGCAAATCATAGAAACTGTTGCTTCCACTTCCTGTGAATAGATTCATCCCTTGGTCACTAGCCAGGGGACCTTTCTAAGGCCAAAACAAGATAAAGCCGACACAAATGAGACTTTATAGTCTGTCTCCATGGTTGCCCCCAGAATTCCACTTTGTATCTCATTGCCTGTCTTGCACCACTTCAACCTGAGCTATGTCAACCAGCTAGAAGCAGATACATGGCCAAGGAAGGAGGCGGGAAGTAGGCACGACTGTAGTCATTATTCTTAGGATATGTTTTTATGGTGTAGGAATCACTTAGAATCCATTGTTTCCTTTAATTCTTACAGGACCTTTTTTTTTTTTGAAGGGAAATTATTTTTCACCTCCTGGATGAGAAGGTAAATCATTGAACACACAAGTAATTTTTCCAGGGCTATAGGGGGAGATGGCAGACCAGGGTTTGGATCCAGCTTCCTTTTAGTCCAGCTTCTTTCCTCTTTCCTTG